CTATAGTCCATGCTTTTTGGTCGAAAATGGCCAAAAATGACTTATTTGGAATCTTTCATAAATAATTCATATCTTTTGAAAAGGTGTGAAAATGGTCCAAAATGTATTTAAAATGTTGTTTTTCTTTATAATGAATGATATTTAAAAATGAAAAAGTGCACACTTCTGTATATGATATGTTTATTGTTGTCATGAATATTGTTATCATTGTTTAATCGGTATTATGAATTTTTGTTTTTGGTTATATTTGATGAAAACTCAATTGAAATAGACTCCTTGAATCGATTTCCTATATGAATTCTTTTGGGCGACAAAACAATAGGTCGTCTTTTCTAATGCCAAAAAAATCCATTGTTTTGTCAGCCAGAACAATTCCTTAATGGACTGAGTGCAAGGGATCTATAGGTCCTTTTAACCTGCACGTCATGTTGTTTATTCTTATCACGTGTCATTGAATTCCCTAGAGTATCATTTCTTTGTTTAACGGTTACGCGCGAAAAGACACATGAATATGGATGCGACTCAAGCGATAAGTTTTACTCTCGAGAGAATGACACATGGTTTAATATGGGAAAACATTACGCTAAGGTATATTACTATAACGGCGAATGGCATGCTTTTGTTTCTTTACATAGATTTACTTGTGATATACGATTTTGAACACTATTTACATGCAGACATGCCTTTCTTTTTTAGTTGCTCATTCAAAGGTTCGAAGGTCCATTCATTCATCCCTACATCCCTCCATCCGTCCATCCATCCATCCATCCCTCCCTCCATCCATCCCTCCCTCCTTCCCTCTCTCCCTCCCTCCCTCTCTCTCTCCCTCCATCCCTCCCTCCCTCCATCCATCCATCGAAGCCTTCATACAGCAGTACTTTTGCAATTAGACTCGGTTTTGTTGACGTCATCCGTTGTCGTGGCAACTCGGATCTCAAGTTCTTTGCAGTAGTACCAGGACAAGAAATAAAACATCAGCGACAAAGCTGAAATGAAATAGTTACAAATAAAGCTAATAAGTTATAGATGGCCAGTTAATCATTTTCATGCACAATGTCACGTGACTTGAGAGAAGCAGCGGACTAAAAGTATTAACATTTTTGTTCAAAAATATGCTAAATATTCCTGTTTCGAGTTCTCTATTTCTCAGGGTTAGCCTCGGTTTTGTTCCGTGGAAGCTCRAAGTGTTTGTATTGTTGAAGTTGTGCATTTTTTAGCTTTACCATCGTTCTTTGTTAATATTTAGACACTGATTCGAGGCTAACCCTGAGTAAATGAAAGACAACGGTCAGCGGTTGCTGCAATGGGACAAGAAGTGACGAATAACGCGCACATTACCTTTGAGTGGCAGCCCATACGATACAATGATCCAGCCCAGCTTATCGTAGTCATAGTTCAAGCAGTTGCCCCTTTGGCTGCATTTTGTTTTCCATAGGGAGCAAGTCTCGTCGATGATGTAACCGATTATGATTGGACCAGGCAAAGCTGCCATTAGTTTGCTGAGGACGAATTGAATTCCAAGGCCGTAGGATCGCTGATTGTCAGGCACTGACCTATTTCAATATGAGTAAAAGGATTATATATATAGAATGCATAATATAAGTGGACTTGTTATTTGCGTACTATATAGCTGTTGCGTTAACTGCCGAGCTAGCCTGAGTTTGGCTTTAAGTTTGACCGACCTTTTACCAAAAACAGTTAATCCTAAGGTTCAAACACGAAATTAAAATTCTAATTTTTCTTCTTTATTTATTTTGCTTTCTTTTATTATTATATTTTTTTCAAAAATTATTCGCTGATTCTCGTCCCTAACATTTACCAAACAGTTTCCTGTATGAGATGCCTTAGCAAAGCAAAGAGCAGAATCTTTAACTGCACTCTTATAAAAGACACACAAAACGAATCTGCTTTGTGAAAAAGTTACTCAAAAATACCTGAACAGGACAATGTCGCTTGGTATTTGATCGCAGACGCCAATGACGGTCATTATGAACAAGTATCCCACAAATAAATACAAATAACTGCAGCGTTTCTTGCAAGGACCCATCGTTAGTTTACTAGGAATAGATGTGCAAGAGCAGTTTGCAAATCCCTGAAAGAAATATATGAAGAATTATGATAGAACGTTAAGAATTGTAACTAGTCTGCGTTATAGAATTCTTGAAATTTCTCCCTTATGAGGACATTGCGCACGGTCAATTATCCTACTATCCGCGACATTGCACAGAATTAGTATGTCCAATGCGGACCTTGCGCAGAGTCAATATTCCACATGCTGACCTTGCGCAGGGTCAATATCCCCTATGCCGACATTGTGCAGGGTCAATATCCCTTATGCGGACAATGCGCAGGGTCAATATCCCCTATGCCAACATTGTGCAGGGTCAATATCCCCTATGCTGACATTGTGCAGGGTCGATATCCCTTATGCCGACATTGTACAGGGTCAATATCCCTTATGCGGACAATGCGCAGGGTCAATATCCCCTATGCCGACATTGTGCAGGGTCAATATACCACAAGCGGACCTCGCAGATGCAATAATCTTTGAATTTGAATTAAATTAAGAAAAGAAATTCTTACCTTTTTTGCATCGAGCGGAGAACAGCCAGCATAACAGGGAGAGAAGAAGTTTACACCACGTGAATCACACATTGGACTGTACTGATTCGTTGTGCAGTGACAGTTAATATTACAGGAGCTAGACAGTTGTAGTTGTCCAAGAGAACTGAAAGAAAGTCAATCAAGGTAAAGAACACTTTAATGAGTTAATCACGTGATTAGAGTCTCATACGCTGCGAAATTCATAAAGTTTTAAACCCGCTCTAATGTCATTTAAAATGAAGCGCGCGCGCAATGGATTCCACAACGTGACAAACTAGTTTTACCTGTTTGGATAAGGTACATCAACACCTGCGTACCGAGGGTATTCACATCCGGGAACCAGGAAAGAAAGAATCGACATGGTGAAAATGTTAGCAAAGAAGACAAATTTGGCAGCTTTGCGACAAGAGTCACGTAAACCAAGACCTCTGACCACTGCACTTCCTGTTCAGAAAAGACAATTTATTCAGACCTTACGTTATCCACAGGGAACCCACGTGATGGTTTTGATGTATGACAAGGAAAAACATAAAATACAGCCTCTTGAAGACATATAAAAAAATTTCGTATCTCAAGGAAAAAAACCTGTTGGGCTGCCTGTGGTTGATCGAGGAACAAGTCTATGTGGCAGACTGGGAAAGAGGTAGAATACTGTGAAGATGTGTACTTACCTATCCACACTCCAACATTCCCGCCAATGAGGGATAAGATAGACATGAAGAGTCCTGCCAGGAACTGAGGTGCACCGTATCGATCACGAATGATCTTGTACAGAAATGGACCCGCTCCGTACCACGCAAAGGTACTGGAAAAGAAGGGGGAAATGGAAATTGAGAAGTGAAACGTTTGTGTATTTTGGTGTCAACGCCTTAGTATGCTCGGGAATAAAGAACCTTGCTGGACGCATCAATCGCGTGATTATTACCGATGGCAAAGTACTTAGATTACTGATGTCCAAAACGTTTTTAAGCATTCCTTTTTCTCTTTCATTTATGAACATGCTGAATACATTTTGCTATGAAAGGGATATAATATTACTAACTGCTGACCAATCTCACGCTGATTACATTATTACGCATGTGCACGATACCTATCCGCTGAACATTAGCACTCACCCCGAGATCATACCACATATCTGAAATATGTAAACCTTGTTGGTAAACAAAGACTTCGTGGCGGGAACAATGTCTTTCAGTCGCCCTTGCAAGTTGTTGTCTTTACCGATTATATATTTATTTTTTATAGCTTCTTCTCTCATTTCTACAGCACCAGGGACCTTACTTGGGAAGCCAAGCAAAATAAACCCGGAGATAATAAGAAAGAAGGCAAAGACGAACGGTCCTAGCCACCAAGCTCCTATCCAACGGTGGTCGAGAGGCCTGAGCTGCAACCCTGGAGGCTGGGGAAAATAGACAATGAAAACTTTAAATAGATATCTTTTTCTCTGCTCTGCTCTGCTCTGCTCTGCTCTGCTCTGCTCTGCTCTGCTCTGCTCTGCTCT